AACCTATGTGCAATGTACCTGGACCGTTGAAACGAAAGAAAGTTTGTGATATAATGAAACCATGTCCATTGATTCAATTACAAGAATGCATTTTCTTAGCTTGCAGACCTTCCAACCCAGAGTTGATGGAGTTTGCTATGATAAAAGTTCTTGCTTGTTGGACCAAGTAAAGAAAGCAAATAATTTTGAATGAAAAAATATATCTAGTTAACTTAGCATGTCTTTATAGCAAATAATCATCCCTCTGTTTCAAGCAACCTCCATGCTTCCGGCAAGAGAAAAATGCCCCATCATATCGATTGGCAACAAGAAAATAAGTTTATTTCACGAGTTAATATCATGAATAATTTTTAAATTATTTAAATTTTAAAAATTTTTAATATGATATTTAAATTATAAATTTATTCATTACATATTATTATTTAAATTAATCACGTTAAATATAAATATCATATTAATTAAAAATTTATAATTTAAATATCACATTAAAACATCATTTATTTATAACATTAACCCTTATTTCAACTTTGACAGTATACTAGCTTTAGCTTTTTTCTACCACTAACAAAAAGTAAACCACATTTAATGTATTAAGCACATAATTTTAAAGTACATAAGGAAAATATATGTACATAATAAGTTCAAATACAGTACGATAAGATGATACAAAAATAATATAAAAAAAATTATATGTTTTAAAAAAATATATTTCGTGTTTATTTGTGTTGACATAATTATGATTTGACATAATTTGTATATTATATATATTAACACAATTAAACATGTAATACAATATAAATAACACATTTAATTTTATTTTATTATATGAATGTACGTTAACATATTTAACACGTTTAACACATTTTTTATATTTATTTTAATTTAATATAAACATATAAAAATTAGTTTTAATTTTTAATTTTTTAATTATGATACTTAGTTAACTATTTAATATCATATAAAAATTATTTTAAACATTTAATTATGATACTGATTTAATAAATATTATAAAATTATTTTTTTTATATTAATAATATAAGTACAAAATAAATATTAATATCAATCCTATACACTATTATTTCATTCTCTAATCTTTAATAATTTATTATTTTGAATTTTATATTAAAAATTAATATAAAATTGTAATAAATATTAAATTTTATATATATTAAATACATATTAAATTACTATTAAATAATTTTTTTAATATAAATAATTTATAATTATTTATTATTTTAATCATGTTTTTGTACATATTCTTATTAATCATATTTATTCATGTATATCTATGCTATTTATATGTATTCATATCGTGTCGCATATAACATATATAATAAATATATCATGTTCATATTTAAAATTTAAACATGTTTTATAATTCGTGTCATATTCGTGTTTTAATAATTCGTATCATTACACATGTTAAATACGATACAAGACACAATAAAAAACATGAATTGTCAAATCTAGATATATAATTGCCTAAAAATAGAATACATATCTAAGTATAGTGACAGCAAAATGCTTTTCCAAATCATAATAACAATCAACCTGCAGTTATTTAGCAGATTGACATAATGGTTAAAAACCATATGCATATTTCAAATACAAATGAATATTTGATTTTAATTATATTCATCATTTTAAGTAAAGGTGAGCAAAAGTAAATTTAAATGGATTAAACCAATCAAAATCGAGTGAATTCAATTAATTCAATTTAATTTATTTAATTTTAATTATAATCGATTTTTTAAATCGAATAAATTAATTACCTCAATCAGTTTTTTATTTTTAAAATTAATAACTAAATTGATCGAATTAATCAACTTTTTAATAAGTAAAAATAACAAATTTAAGTTTTTTTTTTTTTTTGTAAAATATTATTGAAATTATTAAATTATTTAATGATTTAATTTGAATGATATTTGAATTTAAATTTTATTGAATTAAAATTATAATTAAATAATTATTTATAATAAAAAAATAATTAAAAATTTTTGATTATTTAACTAAACTGACCGAATTATATCGATTTGAATCAGTTCAATTATAATCGGTTATTTAAAAAATTTTAGTGCTTAGAATAGGACCTTAAGCATCAAAACCACCCAGTAAAGAGAATATGAAGATTTCTTCCAGGTTCAGTGCAATAACGGCGACTCGTGCGAGAAAAACGAAGCCCTTCCAAGTTCTCTATCTTTCCTACAGGATACGAATAGCATGCACCTAATAAACAATAAATAAAATATTTTCCTCTGCTCCGTAACTTAATAGTTAAAGCCCTAATGGCTGCGGTGTATTGACACTCTTTAGTAGAACGACCTTCCCCATGAGCTATATCCGAAGCACCTCCAAATAATGGCAGTTGTAAAAAAACAAATTCCTCGCATTATAGAATATGTCCAAGTTTGGAGAATATAGGAAAAAGAGGTAACACTCTCTAAAGTTATTTTAACACCAGAGATTCCCTTTCCAACAAAACATTCTTCCCTTCAATATTCTTCTGACTGATCATCTGCAGAACCCTTCTAATTGAATAAAAAAATTGGAGAGATTTATTGTCGTTGAAGCTACAACGATTTCAATAAGAATCCATCACACACTGAATCTATACGTATGTATCACCTCACTAATTTGTATTTCAAACTGCTTCTATCTCAAGAAAGTATGTATCTAGCACTTTCATTTCACAATCCATTTTTCTTTTTCTTTTTTTTTGTATTTTGGGAATTGGGCATTCAAGACCCACAATCTCCATTTAATATTAGCAAAGCATGTTTATGCTAACACTTAATACCATTTACAGTTAAACTAGACCAACTCAATGAAAAACAGAAGCATGATATCAGAAATGCATAAAAAAAAAAAATTCCAAAAGTATCACATACTATACGAGTTACTTTATTCCTTTATTTTATTTTTAAGTACCTTGTTTTATAATCAAACAAATCCTGTGACGTAATGATACGTGTTCGCATCAATTATTTTTTGTAAATACTTGCAGCTCTTTACTGAATAAAAGGTCCAAAAGCTTTAATGTGCATTATGCCATACCAATAGGAGCAAAAATTAAATAACAGCACTGCCTGAACATCTAACTTATGGAGGTGCACATACACACATAGTTTCATACATAAACACACTCTTTTTCTTAACATATACTTCTATAGAATACTTCTATTCTACAACAACAAAATGTTGAAAAAAGAGAACAGCACACAAAGGGCCATATATTCCTATAACTAAACTAATACCACCACAAGATTAATTTAGGAGCCAAAAAATTAATAAAAGCATTAAGAACTTGCATGTTTTGAAGTAATAAAAGGCACTCTCAAACAACAAAAGCATCTTGCATATATCTCAATTAATGAAGTGGATTAATCAAACAAAAATATGAGGGAAAGCCACGCAACTTACAAGGCAGGAAGAAAACCCATAGATCAAGCTTCATTCTCATTTTCCCTCCTTACTCTTTAAATCTATTTTCCTTTTCCTTTCTCCAAATTTCCCAAAGTCAACTCTATTTGGGAAAACATATGAACAAGTTTCAAGAAAAACAAAAATCAAAGCAAAAAAATCTGATGCACATAAAATGTTTACCCAGCATTTCATTGTTAACATCTAGCAAATGTTGAACCTATTTCTATGTTTTCTTAGGTTACTCAAATGTTTATCCAGTTTATTTAGGTCCTCCTAAGTTTTTTGAAGTCAAGGGCAGTTTGCATGATTCTAGAAATGGCACATGTTAGCTGCAATTACCCAAGGGTCCTAGTTTAGTAGGATTAGGTTACATAGTCCTTCCCCACCTAAATTAGTTCCCAACTCTGCTAGTTAGGAAGTCATTAAATGCCCACCCTTTTCTAATTTTGGACAAAGTTGGTAAAGAGTTGTCAACAGCCTACATACTCGTGTGTAAATCAAGAAGAAGTGAATAGAAACAGAGAATACACCAAGCTTATTTTAGCAATTTTTGACTTGTGTTCAAGGCATGATTGTCTCATTGCAAACTGTACCATGTCTCCAGCACCTGATCAAACCCTCAAGCTCAAAGCACTTTTTTTATTTTTGCGCACTAAAGTTTTTGCCTCATCCTTGATGAAGTTTTAGCATCCAACCATTGCTAAAACCCTAAAATTTCGAACTCATAAAGAATTGGGGCAATCTAAAGATCCTACATCAATTGTGACAATTTAAAGAAAATGAAATCATGATTGTAAGACCAGATAATGAAAAATAGACAGAAGAACAAGTTTACTGAAACTCAGAGTGGTAACATCTGGAATTTTTCTAGCAAAAGTTTTACCAAAAAAGGCATGTGTTTTTCTATCTCATAAAGATGGGAAAAGGTAGTGACAACCCTATTATAGCTTAGAATATAGTGATCCTTGTTTTATAGCTAACTTACCATCAATATTCTTTTTTTTTTATTCAATCTAGACCATTTTTATATTCTACCCATATTCTATATTATTCCTAAGGGAAGAATTAATAGTTGAGCTCTGTGTAAAATTTATCCTCAAAAACAATTAATTCATTGTTTTCTGTTACTGTAACATTCAAACATTGTTAACTCGAATGCAACTAATACTGTCTTTTTCTATAATTTTGGATAGAGAGGAGCCTAAGCTCAATGGAGTCAAAACTGTATATAAACAGCATGAATCTTATGACATTATGCTTCTTATAAGATCTCAGTCAGCACATTCAATTAAAGCTGGTGGAAATTTGAGCCACAATTGCATAAAGAAGCCATCTAAAATTTGGTGGCAATGAGATAAACAGGAGCTGTTGTTACTACAACTCATTTTTCATGAATAGGATAATGCTAACCTATTCCCTATTATTGGTTCTATTTACTTTCATTCTCGGAGCAATGCTAATACCTTGCAAAGCTTTCAGTACATCAATGCTCTAAAAATGGTTAAATGAGTCCATTCCACTCATTTCTACCTAGCAATTTCTAAATTGCTACCAAGCCCATGAAAATTTGCTTTTAGTTTTTTTTTTTTTTGTGTAATCATCCCTGTCTTTTGGTAAATTTAAAAGTAGTTTGGAGCTTTGGATACAAGACTATTGGGAAAAAAGGATCCAGCAATGCTTCAACAGCTTGAATAATTAGCATTGGATCAATAAATCAAAAGTAAGTGAAATTATGCACTTTTTAAGAAATGCTTCTTTGTGTCTCCACTTCTAACAACTGTAATGCTCTTTGTATTGTCCTTTCTATATCAATCTTTTATTTATTTTTTGGGAATCATTAAGTTCATCCAACTTTCATCTTCTGTAATGAATCACTTCATAGAATGCTAAGTTGCCTAAGTATTGGTGATTATTCATTGAAGTTCTTATGTAACCGCAAAATTTTATCTGCAGACCTCCCAGATTATTTCAAGTACCATTGCTGCCTAGACATCATCATTTCTTGTTGTAGCATTGTAGATGTTGGTGCCCTTTGCTAGTATTCAAAAACCATTTTCCAGATTCTATAAAAATATGATTCTAATTCTGTTTTCTGTGAGCATTATCTTCTGAAGGGTATTGTATCTGAAGCTTTATCTAAAGAAATAGTTTCTGAGAGATTAAATCCGCCTTTTCTTTGGTCGGTATTATTTTAATGTCAACTGTGATTATTCGGTCAGCTGCTACCAAGTGCTAACAGCCTCTAATTGCCGCAAGAAAAGCAGCTAGCCTTGCCTGCATGTTTATTGTTCTCCAATATTTTCTTGACATTACTTAAGAGTGTTGAATACTAATTAAAACCGGTCTCAGTTTAGAGGTTTCTTTATACTTTAAATGTTTAGGAACTATTTCACAGGTGTTACTCTGTGCTACTTTTTACTTGGTGGCATCCTTTTTCTTATTTGGTTGAGTGTGGGTTTACTTGTGTTCTGACATTACTTTTCACTAGAAACATGTTGATTTGGTGGCACCCTCATCACTTGCTGCTCTGAAGCAAACAGATGCAGCAAAAGGCCGTCCTTGCATGCTGCCAAGTTATGGGCAGTCTCATGGCTACTGCACAGGACAGCAAGCAACCACCTTTATGGTTTTTCATTTGAAAATCCATGTAGTTAGTTTCCATTTGAGCATATCATTTGATACATATTGTACTTATAATCTGTTTAACATATGAAAAAATATTAACATTCACTTTTCCCCTCTAACACAGATTTCTATTACACAAACAACATAATACTTGAAAGAAAAATCAACATAGAGAAATACAAACACAGAATTAAAACCACTAAAACTCTGAAAAATGTGACAACAATGTTAAAGACAAAGTAACATGCAAACTCAACATAATAAACATACACAAATGAACTTTTCTCTGGAAGACTCAACTAAGGCAACAAAGGTTCAAACAAACATATCAAACGAAGAAAACCTGCATTTTAATCTCTTAAGAAGACTCACTTCATAAATTAGTTAACTAGTCCTAGTAAATCTTACACATTATTTATTACCATCAAATTGTTATCAATCATACCATCATAATAGACAACAGAAGCTATCGGAAGCTGAAATATGCCATACCAAATCAAAATCACTACTGCTGCTGGTTTTGAGGGTTTGGTGGAGGCGGCATTCCTGGGCGTGGTGGTCCAAAAACAGGAACAGCACCAGGCGGAGGAGGCATTCCAGGCCGTGGTGGAGGTGGAGCAGGCATTCCAGGCCTTGGAGGTGGTGGAGCTGGAGGCCCTCTCATCATTGGTCCAGGAGGTTGAACCATCGGCCTCTGACCAAATTGTGGTGGTGGCAATGGGAATTGAGGAGGTGGCCTTACTCCAAAAGCAGGTGGTGGTACCTGAGGAGGCGGCCCACGTGGCATCTGAGGTGCTTGTGGCTGTCCCGGGTAAGAACCAGGCGGCATTTGGCCAGGTGGCCGAATCATGGGTGCTGCTCCACCAGCAGAAGGGTAAGCCATTGGAGGAGCCGAGAGCTGTGGAACAGGTGGGCGAGAAATCTGTGGCTGCATCATCCCAGGAGCGGGGCCTCCAACACCCCGGACAGGGCCAGCAAGACCAGGCTGGGCCTGAACGAGAGGCCCAGTGGGGATGCCACGGCCGGCAGCACGGCCAATGCCAGGGCCAGGGACGGCATTAGCGGAGGCAGCCTTGGAACGTGACTCTTCAGGAGGAGGAGGACCTTCGACGGTCATGGAAATAACCTCTTCGCCACGGAGAAGAACAAGGCCAAGGGTTCGACGGTCTTCCCGTTCCTCATTGGTGTTTTTCTTCCCTTTAGCAGGAGGTAGTTTGCGGAACTCCTCGCAGTCGCCGAGCACGAGATTCATGTGACGGTCGAAGGCCATGAATTTGCCAACCAGCTGGCGTCCGTCTTGGATGGTGACACGCATCCGGTAGTTGATGAATTGAAGCATTTTGGAACTCTTGGACATCGACATTGTTGCTGTAGAACAGAGACGATGGAAGAAGAAGAAGAAAAAGATAAAACCCCAGCTAGGGTTTTCATTTGATTTGTCAAGTATTAGAGGGACATTTTCATTTTGATAAATAGGCCAGAAAGATAGGCCCAAACGCTTCTGTTGGGCTGTTTTCTCGACGTTTTTGATAAATAGGCTAGTTGTAACTGAATCGAAAATAAGAGATCAGGTAGATTTTGATTTTAGAAATTGAGGCTTTTTCGTTTTTATTTTTTGAAAAATAAAAAATAAAAGTGAAAACATTATTAGTAATTAAAAATGAAAATACAAATTTTAAAAAATTAAAATTAATTTAAATATAAAAACAAAAAAATTATTTTCAGTTATAGAAATAAGAGATATCCATTATTTTTTTATTTGTGTTTTGCAAGTTAATAAGTTGAACTTTATTTAAACACTTTTGGAAGCTATTAATTAATAAATATATAATATTTATAATTAGAAATCATTAATAATAATAATAATTTTTATATTATTTCTTGTGTCTTTAAATATATTTGATATCATGAATTATTTATAATCTTTTTTATCTTTTTTCACTCAAATTTTTTTACAAAAGTTTATGAAATTAATAAATAAATTTAAAAAGTATTGAATATTTTATTTATTTCTTCAATTATTTTTCAAAAAATTATACAATATATCAAACATATTTCATTATTTGGCATTTTTATTAAACAACTTTTGTTTTCGTTCATTAAATACATTTTTGAAAAAACAAAATATAGAAAACGAAAAATGTTTTTCCAGAAAATGAAAATAAAAAAAAACAAAAAATATTTTCTCAATACCAAACATAGTTATTATTTGTGTTTTGTGAGAATAAAATAAACGGAAACAATTATTATTACTATGTACAATAATAAAAAGTAGTAAATTACTATTATTGAACTCAAACTTCATCTATTATGATAAAGATGACATTTAATTTCTCAAACATTATATATTATGGTAATAAATAATATTTACTTTTTAAAACATCATCATTCTTTAACTAAATAACAAATAATTTTTACTGATCGAAAATTTTTTTATCAATAGAATATAAACAATGTTTATATGATGTAAATTTTATCTATTATGTAATAGACGATTGTCATAATGATTTTAGAAATTGTTAAATAAAAAATTTAAAAGTTTCAAAAAGTAAAAATAAAATTATCATTAATATTTTTTGATTAAATATGATTAATCATATAAAATATTTATTATTTTAATAAAATCTTAAATTTGGTAAAATTTATTAAAAAAAAATAATTTTGATATTAAAAAAAAGACCAATCACAATTATTATCGGCACTGTTTCTCAAAAAATCTTAAACCAATCACAATCAGTAATCAACCAGCAGTAACATATCCAAGATTTTCACTATTCACCACTAGTACAATTTCAACAACACAATCAAACACAACAAACTCCACATAAAAACAATCAAAATAAATCAAAATAAAAAGGGTGGTGTTTTAGTTTCAAGGCTAGTTTTTGGATCTTGAAGTTTTAAAAAAATAATAATAATAAGCAAGCAGATAGGAGGGAAGCAAATTAATAAAAGAACCACCATAGGTGGCAATAATTGTGGCAGAGGAGGACGACAATAAGAGTTTTGCAAATCCTAACCCATGAAGCGGAAACGCTTGAGAAATGAGCAACATACTAAAATTTTAGGCCAATCGTACGACAACATGGTGGTTTTCCGGTAGCTTAAAGTTTTAAGCTAAATTTTAGATCTAAGATTTTCTATATGATTTTTTTTGGAAATCTTAACAGTGAAAACCTAGTAAACGGTTAAAGGAAGACTTTATAAAAATTTGGTGGCAGTAAGAGGTGATGATAGTGATAGATCTAAGTTTTTTAGATTTAGGTTCTTTGGATTTTTTATGAAAAAAAAAACTTTTTAGAGGAATCTAAATTGTTAGATCGAAAGAGGAGCTTAAAGGAATACTTTGATACTTTTTAAAATTTTTAAATCAATGATCAATGGTTAGTCATAAGAGATAATGATCGAAATGTCTAGCAGTCGTTGAATCTAAATGAAAACTATATCAAAAATTGCCTTAAAAAGAGAAGGGAAAAGAGAGAGAAAAAAAAGAACAAAAAAGAAGATGAAAGAAAAAAAATAAAAGAATGAAAAAAGAAAAAAAAAATGGGTTAGATGTCAATGGATAAAGTAGGGTGGGTAGAGCAATTTCCATCTTTATCTTCAGATTTTTGTATTATATAACCTCACATCTTTACTTAATAGATATTTTAAATCTATCTTAAATTCTACAAATATTTAATAGGTACGAGTAATCTCGTACCCTTAGCTTTTTAAAAAATAAAAAATATATTTTAGTTTTTTTTAATTTTTATCTTATACATTTATTTAATTTTTTATTAATATATATTTTTTAAATGAAAATATATTAGTTTTAATTAATCTAAAGTAAAATTTTATATTATTTAATAAAAAATTATTTATTAATTAATAAAATAAAATTTTATAGAGATAAGGAGAGTTATCGAAAATATAAAACAACAAAAAAACAAATCAAGAAGGCTATTCAAGAGTCAAAGAGTATGATTCATAATGAGTTATATAAAAAACTAGAGACAAAAGTTGAAGAAAAAGAACTGTTCAAAATTGCTAAGATGAAAATTAAGAAAAGTAGATATTTTAATGGCACTAAATGCATCAAAGGCAAGGATGAAAGAATTTTAGTAAAAGATGAGAAGATTAAAAAGAGATGAAGATATTATTTTGATAATTTATTTAATAACAGTTTTGAGCATGATATAAGTTGGTTGAACATACCTTTTCAGGATATAAATCGTGTGTTTAACCATAATATCAAAATTTACGAGATTAAAGAAGCTTTGAAAAAGATGGGATGAAATAAAGCTGTAGGACCAGATGAAATCCCAATTGAAACCTGAAAATGCTTGGGTGAAATAGGGATAAGATGGTTGATTGATATTTTAACAAAATTTGACATACCCAAAAGATGCTAAAAGAATGAAAGAAGAACAATCTTGTGCTTTTATACAAGAATAAAGGTGATGTACAAAATTGTTTGAACTATCAATGAGCAAACTTATGAGTCATATGATGAAACTTTAGGAGAGAGTAATTGAATGTGGGTTGTGACGTAGGTTACTATTTTTAAAAACCAGTTTCGTTTATGCCAAGATGCTCCACAATAGAGGCGATCCACCTTTTGAAGTTTTTATTAAAGGGTTTTCAGTGAGAAGGAAAGATTTACATATGGCATTTATCGACTTGGAAAAAATATATGATAGAGTTTCTCGAAAAGTACTTTGGTGGGCTTTAATGAAGAAAGAAATTCTTTTAAAGTACATCATCATAGTTAAATATATATGTGAAGGAGTGGTAACAAATGTGATGATGGTTGGGAGCATGACAAATAACTTCTTTATTACCTCAGGATTGCATCAAGGCTCAACACTAAGTCCTTTCTTTTTTGCATTGGTTATGGATGAACTTGTTGGACATATTCAAGATAAGGTGCTAGGTATATATTATTTGTCGATAATATAGTCTTACTTGCTGAAACTTGTGAAGCCTTTAATACGAAATTAGAATTATAAAATAGTACATTAGAATCTCATGGTTTTAAATTGAATAAATCTAAACCTGAATATATGAAATGCAAGTTTAGTAGTCACAAGAAAATGGGTAATAACGTGATTAAGTTGGATGGTGAGGGAGTACTAAAGAATTGCCAGTTTCAATATTCGAGATCACTTATTCAAAATGATACTGAAATAAAAGTAGATGTCAAACATAGGATTCAATCAGGATGAACGAGCTAATAAAGTGCATCGGGTGTGTTTTATGATTGCAATATGCCTTTAAAATTAAAAATGAAGCTATATAAAATAACTGTAAGGCTTGCATAACTATATGGAAGTGAATGTTAGGATGTTAAAAAACAACATGAGAAGAAAATGAACTTAGTGGAAAATGATGATATTTAGATAGATGTGTAGTAAGATTAGAAGAGACAAAATAAAAAATGAAGAGATTCGAAAAAAATTAGGGATAGTCCGAATTGAAGAAAAGATAAGAGAAAGTCGTTTGCAATGGTTTGGACATATGAAACATAGGCCTAGCTGTATACTAGTTAAGATAATTAAGTTTCTAGATCTAAGAGAGATCAAAACATCTAGAGGTAAACCATGAAAGATATAGATGTAAGTAATAAAAAAGGATATGATGGTTAACAAATTGATGAAAAGGTAGCTGTTGATACAAATCTGTGGTACAAAAAAATCCAAACCACAACTTAACTTGATTATCTTATTTGATTTTTCATATAGTCAATCCCAAAATATAAGATATAAGAGTGAGTGTGTTATTTTGTTGTTTTTGTATATAAATATATATAAGGTACAGGTATGAAGCATGTGCTATATTACTTATTTTGTTTCAGTATCTAATAAAAAATTTAAAATCATACATATCTTCATTCTCATCTCTATCCCAAAATTGAATTTCTCGTCGAAGGAGTAAAATTGACATATTTAAGACTAGCACTATGTAAGCCTAATAAAAAGTAAACTGCTAACACATGACCTAAGGCAAGCCCAACATGTATAGACTTGTGGATATATTTTTAACAAATTTGGGCTTGAATGTGAAGTTGATGTTCAAATTGACCTTAACTTTCAAATGATTGAAGTTATGGATTTATATTATAAATTGGGTATAATTTTTCAACTTTGTTTTAGCTTATATTTTGTTTCCTTATTTATTTATTCATTTATTGATTTAATTTGTATTATAACATGCACATTATAATTAGGACAGTCGTAAAATCATTAAATAAAAATATTAAATAATATTAAATAAGTATAATTTTCTTTATTAAAGTATCATTTTGAAAGAAAATTAATTTTTTCCTATAAAGAAATTAAATCACGAGTGGTGATTTTATTGATAATTCTTATTACATCAGGATTGCATCAAGACTCAACACTAAGTCCTTCCTTTTTTGCATTGGTTATGGACGAACCTGTTGGACATATTCAAGATAAGGTGCTATGGTATATATTATTTGCCGATAATATAGTTTTACTTGCTGAAACTTATGACACCTTTAATACGAAATTAGAATTATAGAAGAGTACATTAGAATCTCATGGTTTTAAATTGAGTAAATTTAAAACTGAATATATGAAATGCAAGTTTAGTAGTCACAAGAAAATGGGTAATAACATGATTAAGTTGAATGGTGAGGGAGTACTAAAGAATAACCAGTTTCAATATTTGGGATCACTTATTCAAAATGATACTGAAATAAAAGTAGATGTCAAATATAGGATTTAATCAGGATGGACGAGTTGACAAAGTGCATCGGGTGTGTTTTATGATCACAATATGCCTTTAAATTTAAAAATGAAGTTATATAAAATAACTGTAAAGCCTGCATAACTATATGGAAGTGAATGTTAGGATGTTAAGAAACAACTTGAGAAGAAAATGAACTTAGTGGAAATGATGATACTTAGATAGATGTGTAGTAAGATTAGAAGAGACAAAATCAAAAATGAAAAGATTCGAGAAAAATTAAGGATTGTCCAAATTAAAGAAAAGATAAGAGAAAGCCGTTTACAATGGTTTGGACATGTGAAACGTAGGCCTAGCTGTATACTGGTTAGGAAAATTAAGTTTTTAGATCTAAGAGAGATCAAAACATCTAGAAATAAAACCATGAAAGATATAGATGCAAGTAATAAAAAATGATATGATGGTTAAGAAATTAAATGAAAATGTAGTTGTTGATAGAAATCTGTGGTACAAGAAAATTCAAACCACAACTGAACTTGATTATCTTATTTGATTTTTCATATAATCAACCCCAAAATATAGGATATAAGACTGAGTGCGTTGTTTTTGTATATAAATAAATCTTACTTGTTTCGTCTCTGTACCTAATAAAAAATTTAAAATCATACATGTCTTCATTCTTATCTCTATCCCAAAATTGAATTTCTCGTTGAAAGAGTAAAATTGACATATTTAAGACTAGCATTATTTGAGCCTAATAAAAAATAAACTGCTAACCCATGACCTAAGGCAAGCCCAACATATATAGACTTGTGGATATATTTTTTAACAAATTTGGGCTTGAATGTGAATTTGAGGTTCAAATTGACATTAACTTTCGAATGATTAAAGTTATGGATTTAGATTATAAATTGGATATAATTTCTCAACTTTGTTTTAGCTTATATTTTGTTTTATTTTATTTTATTTTGTTTTGTTTCCTTATTTATTTATTCATCTATTGATTTAATTTGTATTATAACATGCACATTATAATTAGGACAGTCGTAGAATCATTAAATAAAAATATAAAAAATATAATAAATAAGTATAATTTTCTTTATTGAAGAATCATTTTGAAAGAAAATTAATTTTTTTCCTATAAAAGAAATTAAATCACGAGTGGTGATTTTATTGATAATTCTTAAGAAAAAAATTTTTTTAAAAATTTTACCAAAAGTTTTAATAGAATTTTTGTAAAATTTCCAAAAATAAAAATTTTAAATAATTAAAACAAAGAATAACAAAAAATCCAATGATGGAATAAAAGTAAAATTATAAATGGCGATTTTATTGAGAAATTTTAGGCGAGAAATTTTTTAAACTTTTACCAAAAATGTTGGTGGGATTTTATAAAATTTTCAATAAGTGAAAGTTTTAAAAAATATTTAATGATTAATTCATAAAATTTGAAAATAGTAAAAATTGTTTAAGTGTGGAATTAAAGTAAAATCACATGTGGTGATTTTATTGATAATATTTAATTAAGTAATTTTTTCAAAAAATATTATCAAAAGTGTTGAAAACATTTAAAGAAATTTTCGAATAAAATATTTTCATCCACTTTTAATAAAATGTTCAAATATGAAACTTTTCAATGATGGAATTAAAATAAAAATTTCACCAAAAATGTTGAAAGAATTCTGAAAATTTTTTAATAATTAAAAATTTTTATAAAAATAAATAATTAATAAATTTTAAAGTAAATTAAAATTTTTTTATAATGAAATTAAAAGAAAAGTAACAAATGATGATTTTCTGGAATTTTCTGGATAAGAATTTTTTCTAAATTTTACTAAAAAAGTTGTAAGGAATTTGATAATATTCCAATTAAAGAATTATAATTTACTTTGATCATGAAATACAAAATAATCTAACATGAAACCCCTTCAAATAAATATGTAATTTTTTGATATAAAATAATTTCTTAAATTATATTGAAAATGTAATAAAGAGACTAGAGAAAATTTTTAATATTTAAATACTAATTAAATAAAATTTAAAATTGATAAAAATTTTGTATAAAAAACCACTTGAGCTAAAACCATTTTAGGATGATAAAAAAATTAATTAGTATTATTTTCGAACAATCTCTGTGAAGATGCTAATATTTTTTTTATATATAATTATATTTTTGGATCTTATTTTAGTTTCACAGATAAAAATTTATTTTAATAAATCTTAATTAATTTTAAATTTTATTAAAAAAGTTATTTTTTAAGTGATTAATCATATTTACATAAAAAAATAATGACAACTTCATATCTTTTTTTAAAGTTTAATGATTAAGTTAATCGGATGAAAAATCATTATGATAATGTTATTTTATGTTCATTAATTGAATTGAATTTATTAATTTTAAAAATTCAATCAATCAAATTTAATTTGATTAATTGGATAAAATTTTGAATTAATCAAATAATAAAAAATTTTAATTTTAATTATATTTTAAATTTTAAAATTTTTGTATATTAAAATAAACTAAATAAAATAATCTAATAAAATATTTAAATATCAAAATATTAAATTAATAATTCTAATAAATTATAAAATAAAAGAGTCAATTTAATGTATTTTTAATTTTATCTTTGATTTCTTATATTTGGATTACAATTTCGTTAATTTCATCTGTTTGATAATCAAATTAACCGAATTAAATTAATTAGTCGATTAATTTAGTAAAAACCAAAATATTAACACCATGCCATACGCCAATAGATCTATAAACATAAGGAAAAAGAAAAAATGAAAAAAGAAACAGTACGTAGTTAGACGTGAAAAGTGAAAGGAAAAAGGCATTTCCAATCGAGGAAAGAAAGAAAGAAATGGCAGCAGCGCCAGATCACTTGTTCAATTTGAGGAATAATTTCTATTTGGGTTCGTATCAGGCTGCCATCAACAACAGCGATCTTCCCAATCTCTCCCCCGACGACGCCGTCGAGCGCGACTGCCTCGTCTACCGCTCTTACATCGCTCTTGGCAGCTACCAAGTACCCCCTTTTCTATTTAATTTAATTTCAAAATTTGCAAATTCTAATACTATTTGTTTTTTGCTTCTCAAATCTCAGCTAGTGATCAATGAGATCGACTCCGCCGCTGCCACTCCTCTCCAAGCCGTTAAATTGCTGGCCCTCTATCTCTCTAACCCTCATGATAAGGTTAATTCTTTTTAGATCTGCCTCATTTTTGTTGTTATAGGAAAGATCTGCCAAAAAAATATGGGAGTTTGATTGAATTATCGCGTTTAGGAATCAACGATTTCGAGCTTGAAAGAGTGGCTGGCAGATCCAGCAATTGGAAACAATGCCATCTTAAGGTTGATTGCTGGAATCGTTTTCATGCATGAAGAAGACTATAATGAGGCTCTTAAACACACCAATGCTGGTGGCACCATGGAACTGTGAGTTTTCTCATTCAACTTCATTTTCATTTATGCTTGCCTTATATTATTATGTCCTCCAAGTCTATTATACTGCGAAACTTGCTCCTTTATTAATGATGTCTGATTCAGCTTCATCTATTCATGTTATTTGTTCTATATATGTTCAAATTGATGAAAATTTGTTTGTAATGTTACTTCATCTAGCCTGCTTAACAGTCAAAATCTTTTGATCCTTAGGCTTTTCGGTCTGGAAGTCTTAGGCATAGAACAAAGGCAGGGTTTTTTAGATAGGGTAAGATTACCTTCCATTATCTAGCCTGAGACTAGTAAGGGAAAGTAAAGAGAAAATGGAGAAGGAGCGATTGTGGGTGGTTTGAAATTAAAACTGACAGAATTCCATGTGAATCAGATGAATTAACCCTTATAAAGCCTTGCTGACATCTAAATTCTCTTCTATTTCATGTTGATCCAAAATTACTGGTTGCCTTGTACAATCTTGCTACATCCGGACCTTTGATAATAGAAGCATGCCATTTTTTCGTTTTTCTTTTTCCAGCAAATTAAAACACACTGAAATTGTTACTTATACTAGCATTCTTCTGCCAGCTCATTTCCCTTGCCTCTCTATTTGTGGTCAGAGGCAAATTATACTGCTTTCATGTAGTTAAAAGCAAATTCCTTAAATACATGGGCAACATGATCAGATTAGAGAATTCTAGGTATATATCGGCGAGTAAGATGTTTAAAATTGCATGATTTGGCTGGATTTCATTGAATTTTTGCTCCTTGGCACCCACTTGTCTGGACTGACTGCGTCCTTTGAGATATGCCTCTTTAATTCATTCTAGGTATATATCAGACAGTAAGATGTTTAATATTGCATGATTTGGCTGGATTTTATTGAATTTTTCCTCCTAGGCACCCGCTTGTCTGGACTGACTATGTCCTTTGAGATATGCTCTTTACTTCCATTATAGGTAATCTAGAGTCTTCTATGGTTTCACAGCACAGATTTAGCTGTCACTTCTTTTTCCCTCTCATATCTATAAATCAGAAAATAAGCTATGGAACACTAACACAGTATATGGGTTACCAAAGAACTATGTCAACTAATTAGGCTCTTGTATGTTGCAGGTGATTTCTACCTGCTTACCATATATATTTGGAAAGAAATATATCTGTACAATTATTCATCTTTCATTTGTGTTTAGTTGGTTGAAAATAACATGGAGTGCTTATGCTTTCAAGCTTTTGACACCCTGTGACCCTGATGCTGAAGAAGGAAAACTTTTTTAAATAAGCGTACTTGTAAGTAAAAGCTGAAATTCATGGTAAAACCCCACCTATGGTGGTTCTGCATCACCTAATTGTCACCAGCCTTTAAAATGTTTAACCAAACAGCAGATGTTTAGTGCATCTAATTGCTTCAACATTGTCTTTGCAAGTTCTACTTCAATTGGTTGCCCTGATACCCTTAGGGGTCTAATTGGCTGAGGTGCTGCATTGGCTAGCCTCACAATGCCCTCTTTTTGATTAATGTTCAAAGGGATTTTGCTGAAGATAAATAGTAATTTAATTAATTCATAAGCTAGTGACAATACAATATTTTTTGCCTATGCTGTTTTTCTAATCTTTTCCCAAAATGAAATTTATATGCACAAATTTGTATGGCATGTTAGCTTAATACAGGACTTCTATTAGAAGAAGTTTTCCTACTTGAACGTTGATGTCAAATTATTCTGTAAAAATCTTTGTACCAAATATACTTACAGATGTGAATTAGGAATTTGTGTCCATTTCCTCTAGAAAATGTGTATGTTACTTCTAGTGAGCCCTCTGAAAAAGATGTCTGTTCCTTCTAGTGACTTTGAGTTGTCCCTTTGACTGCTAAAGCAAAACATCTCAGCAATTTACAAGCAAATTGGAAGCTCTGATGCATCCGGTGAAGTCATTGTGTTCTCTGTTTTCAGGCATGCATTGAATGTGCAAATATTCATTAAGATGCACCGATCAGATTATGCAGAGAGACAGCTGAGGGTCATGCAGCAGATTGATGAGGACCACACACTGACTCAACTTGCAAATGCATGGTTGAATCTGGCAGTGGTATGGAATATTTTTCATTTTAATAATAGTATAAGTGAGAAATCATGGATGGTGTAATGACATGCTATTATACCAATCAGGGTGGTTCTAAGATACAGGAAGCATATCTGATCTTCCAAGATTTCTCTGAGAAATATCCAATGACCGGATTGATCCTGAATGGGAAGGCTGTCTGCTGTATGCACATGGGAAACTTTGATGAAGCTGAAACACTGTTACTTGAAGCACTTAATAAGGCAAGTTTAAACAATGGAAACTTTTGGTTTTCTCTAGATTTAAACCTATGATTTGACATTTCTTTTGGTCTTTGTTTATAGCAGCATGAACTGGACTGACTACATTTAATGTGTTTCATGACCATAAATTACTCTCTTTCAGACTTGATATGCATTAAGTTTCAATTGGTGTAAGTATAACCTCTGAGTGATGTCAAATGATATTGAATTTCCTCTTGGATTTTCCCCGTGTCCCTTGTGTTCCTGTGAAGTTTAAAATTTTGGATTCATCATGACACTGAATATTTCACTCCCAAAGTTTCATTGCTTCATAGCAATAGGGTGGTTCATATCTTTATAATTTTATGTGATAAAGGGTTGTTTGTCAATGGATATAGGATGCAAAGGATCCTGAAACTCTGGCCAACCTGGTTGTATGCAGTCTTCACCTTGGTAAATCATCTTCACGTTACCTAAGGTAAACTAGCAATTCATTTCCTTTATTTTTGTTTTTCTTGTCTTTTCTTTGTTGAACTCTCCCTTATCAGTTTGGAAAGTTGATAAGTTTTGGCAACATTTTAAGTGCTCTTTAAAAGGTTACCAAGCCATGGCAAAAGAGTTCATGTTCAAGAGTTATTCTTGGCAGCTAGATTAATGGATCCAATACCCTAAGATGACTTTCAATTTTTAATTCACGTTAGCATAGTTTTTCTTTCCATTTTTCTATCAAATGTTGTAGAGCACTGCAAAAAGAGCATAATCTGCATCTGCTAGCGAAACTGCAAAGTCCTTTGTCTGGACTGCCTAGTTGGTAACAAATGTTAGGCATGTTTTTAAACTGAGATTCGGCCATTCTTTTCATCAATTTCCATAGTCCTTTATATTTACTGAAGTTTTCTGAAGATATATTATTTTCATGTATTTTATTTTTGAAATCTAAGGTAAGGCTTGAAAATCTTGCAATTTTTTGGCTTTAGACAAAATGATGTTTGTTGGTGCTGAGCAGAACTTTGCTTATCAATTTGCTGCAAAAGCTGCTTTTCCTGTTAGTCTGTTGCCTTTTTTGCATTTCCCTGTCTTCTCCTTATTATGCATGATGAAGATGGCAGATGTTCCAACCTTTATCAATTGAAAAGGATCACGTGGACTTTTTTTTTTTTTTATTAACTTGAGCAAAACAGCCTCTAGACTTTTGACCTCCTTTTTGGGGTGAGGTGTGGTTAGTATTAAGGCAATTCCTCATAACTGATGAATAGACTTTTAAGCCTTGTGCACAGAGACTTTCAATTGCAGTTACCCCTTTTCTTTGAAGAACATATTGAGCCAATATGCAAATTATGCATGGTGCACGGTGCACACCGCAGAGTTGTGAGTGGTTACACTATAGGATTAGCCTCACCAGATACAGTCAAAATGATCATGTACTCTACGATTGACAAAATATAAGGAAAATTTATTTTGTCCCTGATTATCAAGTGAGTTGAAGTATTATGCATGCATAGTGAAGAGTTTCTTCTTTTGATATTTGTTGGTTATTCATGTAAGCTTCAAAACTAATTATTTCAAGTATTTAAGTTGAAGCAACATATCTGTGTGAATAGGACAACATTCTGGATGTTTTCTTAATCTAAAAATGTAGCTTGCCTGGAATCTGTGCTCCTTTGGTGCTTCAGAATATGACTGTTAACCTTAATCCAACCTGGGTGGCTTGAAATTTCAAGCCTTAATTCTAGGTCCTTTTGTAAAGAAACTATGAATAAGTCTTCATAGACTAATTGACTGTGTAGTCATATCTTATTTTCTATGCCCAATCCTAACCTTTGTGATTGATACTAATTTGCAGCCAATTGAAACTCACACATCCAGAGCACATTCTTGTTAAACGTGCATCATCTGCAGAAGACAGCTTCGAAAGAGCAGTGCAATCAGTTGCTTGAAGATGTGGAGTTAGTTTTTGATAAAATGTCAAATGGTGCCGGTTAACAATCGTTATGGCTATTCTTTGGGATTTGTAACCTGCAGAGTATATGATCAGTTTGACGAAAGTTTCAAGTTTTAACTTTGATATTCTTTTTGTTGGGTATTGTTGGATAAGGAACATCTTATATTAAATGTTTCCAGGAAAAACTCAAAATGCACCCCTTTTTTTTCCCTACACTTTTTTTTTTTATTTTAAAGTGAAATTATTTAAATATCATTCTCACAAGTGTTTAGATAATAAATTTTATGATTTTTTGAAAATGAATTTTTCATAAATATTATGACTTTTAGGAAAGGGATTATCGATAAGCTATAACATTTTTCGAAAATGCATTTTCAAAAAGTTATAATACTTTTTTGGAGTGAAAGGTTTTGAAAAATTACAAAGTAATTTAGTTAAAATTTTTAAGAACTGAGTGTAATGAAAAAATTATTATTAAAATATTATAAATTTTAAAATTAATAAAATAAATTTACTTTTATTATTTTGAACTTAAAAGAAAAATAAAATTTTATGAGATTTTATTTAAATATTTTACTTTTTAATATTATGAAGGATGATGAAAAAGTTATCAGGTTTGATTAATATGTAAGAGTTGAAAATTGCTTAAAACTAAATGCAAAATAATTTTATTAAAATTTAATATTTTAATTGATGAAACTCATTAGAGACTTTTGTGAGAAGTTAGTTAAACCTATTATAAAATTTTAATAATGATACAAAAAATATTTATTAAAAATGATAAATTTTAAATTTATAAAAAATTATATTTACTATTTTATCTTTTATTTAATTAAGACCTCATAAAATTTTATTTTTTTCTTAAGATCAAAATAATAAGCGTAAATTTTTATTAATTTTAAAATTTATAATTTTTTAATAATAACCTTTTTATACTAATTCATAAATATTTTAATAAAATTCCTTATTTTGTAATTTTTACAAACTTTCAATTTTTAAGAAATACATTTCCGAAAATAATAATGATTTTTTGCAAATATATTTTCGAATATTCGTGAGAAGAATATTTAAATAATTTTATTTATTGCATATGGTTTAGTGAAAACAATGTTTACATTTTTGATGAAATTGTACTGCTGTCAACTTGTTTTAATAAAGGGTACTTCAAAACAAAGGGATCTAATGACTTTTGTGAGAAATATAATCACCAGCATCGGTTAAATCTACATGCTAATCTCTTTGAATGGAAGAAAATAGGAGGAAGAGAATGAATCAAAGCTATACCTGCGCCTGGGCATCACCATATCATTAAACCATCATCATCTCTTCAAAAATACACATATAATGAATTTGTTGCTTCCTATAACTACCCTAATAATGTAATAGCAATGGAAAATTTTAATCCCAAATTTTCTTCTCTTATTTGTTAGAGGTAGAAGAAGCACTGCTCAAATCACGAGCATTTGAAGTGCTAATGTTATGAATGATTCTTAAATTATAACGAAATATTCAATGTAAAATTTGAATTATGAATCTATTAACTAACGTGATTAATTTCAAATGAGAAACGTAAAGGATAAATAATCTTTCAATTTCAAGTATCATATTAGTTAATATATTCCTAATTTAGAGACTACATTAAATATTTTTAAAATTTGTGCATCAAATTAAACATTTCAATATAATTTAGAGATCATTCGAGATATTATTATCCCTATGCTGTGAACTACTCAAGAAACCATCAACTAAGAAGCAGTATTGTATCCATCACGATGCGCCTTTTGCCATCTCCATGCAATCTGTAAACTCTCCTGGAGATCAGTAAATTGAGCTGTCCAATTCAGCTCCAGCCTTATCTTAGTTGGATCACTAAACACTTCTGCATAATCTCCAGGTCGGCGGGGAAGATAGTCAACTTTGATGTCAACCCCTGTGGCTTTCTTACATGCCTCCACAAACTCCTTCACTGATCTACCTTTGCCAGTGCCAACATTGTAGATTCCTACTTTACGGGGCGTTGCCTTTTGAAGAGCTTTCACATGAGCATCAACCAGGTCGGTAACATCAATATAATCACGTATGCAAGTGCCATCATGTGTTTTATAGTCTGTTCCCTTGACCTGCAGGATCAGTAAAATTAGAATTTAATAGTACAATATAAAGTTGCTGAATGCCTACCAAGGTGTAGCTTAAGTGGTTCATGGAAATTTTGAGTAATGTCCCAAAACAAATTTACCAAAAAGCTTGAAGGCTATCTTTCAATTGTGCACTGATATCATAGTTGAACCACAAAGGCAAAACCATGACATGTGCAATGACAGGTGTCATAACATTATAATAATTACAAGGTACAAAAACAAATATGCAAACAGCACATACAATCTACAAAATGCTTGCAAAGGTGATACCAGCAAGAAAAAAAATAATACTATAAACTCAAAGCATCCAGTTCTGCAAAATCGTCATCTACAACAAACTTGTTTCAAGGAAAGATGTAGACATTATAAATGTTCATCAAAATTTCCCTAGCAGCTGTCAAACCAAAGAATTATTTACATTTACTTTTGAACCTCTCTATTTGTTATCCGCATAGATACCATCAAAACAATTTGATCGAGCCCGTATTAGACCATAGATTTGGTAGCCTTCCTTGCACTTTCTCATGGGCAGGAAAAAATAACAATTCTCAAAATTATCCAATTCTACTTCAGCAATAGTTGCTCGACCTTCAGAAAAGGCTGCTTCTGTTACTTTCCAACTTTAAAAAATTAACAGCAGAACTTTGATACGATCTGAAATTTTTGTAGTGTTCAGAATCTTCCTAAGATCTGTCAAAATGTTATGTAAGTTGCTATAACTAGTTGCTCACTTCTTGACCCCAAGTTCAGCTAGAAATATAAAGCAATCACTGAAGATGAGCAAAGTAAAGGATTAAAAGGATAGCATACCTTTAGACCAGGAATGATACCACGAGCTGCATCAAAACAAGCACCTGAAATTCGTCCATGCTCACGCAACTCAGGTCTGGGAGCCTCACCTAATCTTCCTTCAGGATCTGAACCGATCACATTGAAGTATCTGAAAGACATTCCCGAAGAATATATGAATTCATAACCATCGGAAAATTTTTGTAATTGTCAAATGTTTAGGAAAAAAAATGAAAAGAAGAGCATATTCTTGGACAATCAATAATTGTGATCGGAACCCTACACATTGAATATAGGAGAAGGAGTTCCTCGGATTCTAAAAGTTTCACCAACCCTAAATTTGTAATTACAATAAGCAACCTTCTGAGGCTCTAAGTTTCGTTTTGCCACTGATCTAGAAATACAAACGGCCAGTGCTACAAACAGGAATCGGTAGCCTAAACCTGCCATGTATATGTCTTATTTTTGCAGCTATTAGCTGGCAGAACAATCACAACTTAATGAATTCGTAGCCTCCAATTACAGAAAAATTATGAATGTTGACTTATGTGTACTATTGTTAAGTTACTAAAATTTTGCATGTTGACATAAAGAAAACAGAGAGTAAACAAGAAACCATATCAAGAAAAGGTAAAAAGCATTACCATAATTCTCGAAACTTCTAAAAGTAAACTAAAATACAAACCTTAGGATCATAACTGCCATGTCTGAATTCTTAGAGAAATCCAGGATGATATCTTCAGCCATCTTCTTAGCTTTTCCATATGGATTGATTGGGATCTGAGTTGGTTCAAACAAAGGTCAGTTGCCTGGTATTTTAACCGTATATGCATAAAAAACAAGTTGATAAAGCTCAATCCTTTATTTCGTTGGCCTCAAACGAAAATTTAGAAAATAATTAAGCATAAAACCAAGTTTGCAACTTGCCTGTGGAGTTTCTTCAGTGATTGGCATCTTTTGAGGCTCCCCATATGTGGCACATGTACTAGAATATATCAAAGTCCTAACACCATGAGCAGCCATTGACTCTAAGACCACCAAGGTGTTTGAAGTAATGTTGTGATAATACCTGCACATTGTGGCCAAACACACCATAGAGAACAACAATTTGGAGATTAGTTTAAATATTATGGAATGACATATTTCAAATAATACTAAGTAATCAATCATGCAATATAACATTTCTCAACCACAGATCCAGAAGCCAATCTTAATAGATTCTGATGGATTCAATTCTCCCCTAATTCTCAAAAGCAAAGTTCAATAGATTCTGATAACTTTTCCCCTCAGCAACAGGGTCGAAACATATTGATTTCCAATGGTGGAGTTAATGCAAATAGTAAGATGACATGTGAATGGCGATGATGTCAGTGGCAAGTGCCAGTAGTTAAGTGAACAGCAGCAGCAAAACTTATGTCTGAATAGCACAGTTGGTTAGAAGAAAGCACTCGGAAAGAAAACAACAAGCAAAACCCCTATTCCAAGATCAATTTCTTTTTCATTTTGACTGTTAGGTTAAGAGAACGAAAGGGCACTAGACAATTCTAAAGGCTTTATGCACAGAAGTCAGGACGTTATCAAGCATACTTGGTAGCACAAATCCATCTACAGAACCACATAAACAAAATGAATCCAACTTAATTTTCCTTGTGAAATCTAGTGACCTAGAATAGCTCTTCTCTAAACTTCTCTTTTGATGATAAAAGGTTTTTAGCTTCATTTCTAGTGCTCTCACAAATTATGGCAAGTGCAGTTACAGAAACATAAATAATGAGTGAAATTGAATTGACCTTAGAAAATGGTATCTCTGCCATGTAATTTATAAACAAGGATACAAGCTTATTTGGTAGGCGCAAAGGATTGCCATCAGCAGCACAAATAAACCATACACTCCTTATACTCATTTCATAGCACTATAACACTGTTAAGTTCTTCAACTAAATAAGCTCTCATCAAATTATAAATTTTTATTTAGCATAAAACAGCAAATTGAACAATCCACTTCACAGCTCATCTGGCCTATATTAACTCTGCCAATTATAAATCATGAAGGAGACTTACTTGAGAGGATCGAGTGTGCTCTCCCCAACATATGCAACAGCCGCGAAGTGCATTACAGCGTCAAATGCATTTTCTGAAAATATTTTATTTACCTAAATATAAAATCAAGGAAACAGTACCTAACATCCCTGTTTAAATGCCTAAAATTGATAATTTAAGGAAATAATCATAATGAATATCACAAAGAGGTTACAGCTTTGGCATCCCCCAGATCAGTATAAATGAATTGAAGCCGTCGATGTTCTGGAAATAATCCTTGTAGAATCTTGATGGCACCTAGGTTTCCACGTGAAAGATTGTCCTGGAAAAGCAGGAACTTCTTCCTTAAAGCCTAGACTAATTATTATGCACAAGCTGTGAAAGACCAGAAAAGGAGATTGTTACATATCCTAAACTAAAAACATACCACAATAGTTACACGGTATGACTCCTTCAGAAGTTGTAAAGCAGCGTGTGAACCAATATAGCCAGCACCACCAGTTACAAGAACATGAGTTATTCCTTCTTCATGTTGGGAGAACTTGAAAAACAGAAGTCAAGAAATGGAAAAAGATGTCAGAAGGTGAAACATTATATAACTTAAAAACAGCCACTACTATAGAAACAGCTGAGCTAAGTTTTCATGTAAAATGGCAGCAACTAAAATTTCATTATGTAGAAGTAGAGATGATATTAACCACATGAAAAGGGAAAAGGGCAAATCCATAATCAAGTGAGCAGTTTGATTAAACTAAGCCTGCAGCAGGAAATGACCACATGCAAAGATGAACTCTTGGGGAAAATGGAATAGGATCCTGCTATAATTGCTGAAGGAACCCCAGTAATATATATCCATACATAAGAACCATCTTAATAAGTGAAAAGAAAAAATCAAATAATAGGAATAGTCAACAATTATTACTATTTGTTCTTCAATTATCAAAGAAATCAAGACATCACCATGAGAAACACATGGCGCAGTCTTTTGATAGAATGAACTGGATATTATAGGATCACTGTGCCCCCTATTTTTGTATGTGATAAAGAGAACAAATGGTTGCCTCCATTATCAACTTCCTTGTGCATTTTAACTTCAGTATAGCATAATAGAGAAGCAGAAGAACTCCAGATAGAATCAAGTAGGTACCAGACTTGGAGCACTGAAACTTGGGGATTGCTTGAGCATCATAATGCATAAGGCCGTAAGGATTGCTGCCAAAAGGACTTTTCCTAAGAAATTGCTCTTCCTTTTGGGGTCAGGATATTCCATGCCTACATGCAAAACAGGAACAACAAAAAATAAATTCATAGAATAATTTCGTCCAATTTTATTATCACAGCAATGCATTAAAACGTATGCAAGTCATATTCCAAAATCATAAATAACTTAAGTATAAAAGTAAATTTTAAAGATAAGAAAATGCCTTTTTTCAACACTCAGTAACAAATTGTTACCAAAATTTTGAAACTGAAAGGTAAAAAGGAAAATATAATTCAAGAAGCTTCTCAGAAGGAGTTGGATTATCATCTTAAGCCCATTCTTACAAAGAAATAAATCAAAATTCACATGACGAATGGGGAAACTTTAAATTTTTTAAATGAAAATGGCATGATTAAGTCCATAAGCAACAAGACAAGAAAGGGTATCAAAATCATAAGACGAAATTAAGCAGAATGGGATAAGAATTGAAATTGAGAGAAAACCTTACCGGCAAACGGCTTAGATCTAGTAGACCTTGGCTGGCTTCTTCCTCTTGCAAAATTTGGCATTTGGAAAAAGCCTCTTATGAATTGTGTTAAGCTACAAGCACCAGAATTTATGTCTCAATTGCAATGACCAATCAAAGACCCTTACTTGGAAATGCTTTTGTGTCAATGTGCTGCAAAAAACCAAAGCCAAAAACAAAAAATGATTCGCACATTCTGAAATATTAAGAACACAAGAGAGCCATATCAGAATCATAAACAGAAGAATGTAAAACAAAATTCAATAATAAATGGGCCCTCCATCGAATTCTAGGAAAAAAAAAAAGAAGACACCACAAAAGGTTGAGTTCAAAAAGTGCTATTTTTTTTTTTTTTAAATAGGCAACAAAAAACTCAGGAATTTTTCATATCTTCAATTCAAAATTCTATAATCACAGACAGAAGAGAGCAAGAAATTCAAGATCCAACATAACCAAATAGCAGTAAAAGAAGACAAAATCAAACAGATGAAAATAAAAATAAAAAACTCATTTACAAGTCTTCGTCAGAGCATGCCTGGTCAAGCATTAAAATCAAAATAAATAATCCAAATAAAAACAGATAATTTGATAATCAATCATCCAGAAGAATAGAAAAAATTTCCATCAATGAAATTTGATCATTCTTAGAAAGACTACGGAGTTCAAAGAAAAAAAAAAACAAAAACCAGCCTTTAATTGGCAGCGCCACAAAAGAAAAGGAAAAAAAAAAGAATTTTACTTGAAAATAAAAACAAAAGAACACCAACAAGACTTTGAACGTGGCCAAAGAAAAAAACAAATTGAGAATGGGAAAGAGCCAAGAGAAAGAGGTTCAACTTGGTACCAACAAAATGATCTAATATCAATTTTATAACACATGCAAATATGCAATGCAAGAAAATTTTGAATAAAAAAAAACCCCACCCAGAATGACTGAAAACGTGAGACAGACAGAGAAAGAGAGGAAATGTACAAATGATAGGAAAGGTCCCATGGGACGTTGGAATATAAGAGGAGAGCAACAAAAGAAAAAAGATTAATAAGAGAGAAAGATTTGTAATAGGCGGAGTTTTCTTCGTGTCCATGGTGTCAACAGTCAATCAAAGAAAGCAAACAAAACGACGTCATTGTTAAGTAGTAAATAATTTTATATAACAAAAAAATGATTGATTCAAGATTTTTTTTTTTTATAAAAAGATTTTAGATTTAAATTTTATTTGTGATTATTTATTAGAGTAATTTAAAATACATGATTTATAATTATTTATTTTAAATTATTAAATATGAAAAATTAAATAATTTATTTATTTTAAATTTCGAAAACAAAAAAAAATTATATATTATTTAAGAGTTAAATGCTACGATGGTTTATGTATTATATATATTTATATTTTATCAATTTAATAATTAAAAAATAAAATTTTTATTTGGTTAAGTATTTTGATGTTTTAGTTTAATACTTATAGTTAATTTATTTACATGATATTAATATTTAATAAAATTTTGATATGTGATATAAATATTTAATTATTGTTATATTATTTATTTTTTATATTAATATTAATATAAAAAAATTTTAAAAATTATTAAAATATATTTTTTAATTCAAAATTTTAAAAATAAAAATAAAAAGGAGAAGGAATCGAGAAGAAAGAGAAAATGAAAGAAGACAATGGAGAGAGAAAAGAGAAAGAGTGGCATCATCAATCACCCTAAGGTGGATCAAGGTCAGTCCACCTCAAACCGAATCAATTGATGTCAACCCCTTTCGTTTGAGTTTGATTAGCGTCGATCCGTTAAGTTTGAGATAGATCGATTTAAGACTAAACAAACGATCAATTTCATTAATTCGATCGTAAAAATTAAATAATTAGTTTAATATATTTAATTTATTATAAAAATTAAATTAATTGATATATATAAAAAAAAAAAAATTAAATCAAATTAAAATGGTCAATTTCAATATATTTTCTTAGGCTAATAGATTTTACTTTTAATTTTTTGTATTAAATATACTTATATTATATTATTGGATATACTTATATTATATATTTTTTTAATTATTTATTTTGTATTAAATTAAATATTTTGATGTATTTGATTTATATATTTTAAAATAAAAAAATGACCATTTTAATTATTTAAATAAAATAATAATCCAAATATTCATATAGTCCAAATTATTTGACTCAATTTTTCTTAAAAATTTGATTTTTTAAAATTTTTTTATTTTAATCAAATTTTACTAAATCTTAAATCAATCTCAATTTAATCCTAATTCAACCATAGACACCTTCTATTCCTCCTTTTTCTTTTATCTTTCTCTTTCCTCTTTTCTCCTCTCTTTTTCCTTATTTTTTCTTTCTGTTTTCTATCATTTTATTTTTTAAAAATTTTTCTAAAAGGTTATAATTGAACAAATATAATAAAAAATAAGAGGAATCTTAAAGTGTGTTAAGCCAATGGTTTGGTGCCATTTGTACAGATAGACATTTGCTGGGAGCGACAAATGCGGGAACTCAAGTCTCACGAATTACTTGCCAACATGTCAACGTTGCAGTGATTTGGGACCCAAATATGGTGGACCTTACTCCGCCGCTCGTTTTACTTCTGTCTTCTGTTTTTCAATGCCAGCTTACTCACTGAAAAATGAAAGTATTGTACACTTGCAACTCTTTTTTCAAATCGAAGTACTTAAAATTTTTTTTTCATATTCAAGGACTCAATTAATATAATAAAAGATAGGGATCAAAATTAAATTCAATGAAAAAAAATTATACAATTTATTCACCAAGCTTTGATTTGTAACAACTACTTCTTTATAAAAATTTTTATTATAAAAATTTATCTCTTTGACCATTCAAATTTTTTTGTGCAATAAGTTACCAGTCACTATAAATTTTTTGGATGATTGGGTTTTTTTTTTGTGTATATTAAAAATTACTTGTTTATCATTTTATTGACACGTTAAATTTATAAAAATAATTATACAATTAACATTAAACAAGACATATTTTTTATTGATTTATGCAATTAAATTTTAAATTTTGGAGGGTTCTTTGGTGCAAAAATAATAATTTACCGTGATTTATCGGTAAAATGTAGAATTTTATTTTTATGACCATAAATTAAAACTTTAATAATGTCAAATATATATTTTTTTGGTTACATCGGAAGGATAAAGTTATAGTATAAGTAAGGGAGATGAGAGAGATTTGACTCGAAATCAGATCTTTAATATCCTCTCAAACACTTTTAATCACTAAATCAAATATATATAAATATATATATATGAAGGACGCCATTAATAGCACCTTACTCAATTTTATGTTTTTTCTTGTTTTAATCTTTTAAAATTTAACAATAAAAATAGTTATTTTGTAAGGAGAGAGTTTTCTAAATGGACCTTCAATTTAAGTCATACTTATTTATGAAGTTTAATATTTATATTTAAATCCTCTCAATTTTGGATAAATTTTCAAGGTCCTTGGACAGGATTACCTTCAATTATATTTGGTCATTTTAAATTTAATGGAATTTAACTTTGTCTTAATCATGTAATGTCACTAATACTTGTACTCTTTTTTGAAAGGCACTTTTTGAAAGGCAGCGGTACTTAATCCATACAATTTCATGTCATCCACATGCTTGATTAAGCATATCCCGGTCAAAAAATAAATTTACTTTCCTATTCTATTAAAAAGTGAGAATTTGTCATTTTATATACTTTATTTGATTTGATTATCAACTAACTAAGAGAAAATGGTTATATGCACTTATAAGTCTGCATAATTTATATATAGAGAGATCAACTTATAAAAAATTAATTTTACCTATATTTATTTAGCACCATTAATCTTTAATAAATATTAAAAAATTTTGAAAGAGTTGCAAATTATACAAAATATTTAAATTAATTACAAGTTTATTGATCTTAACAATGTGAATAAAATATTGATTAAAATCAATGATTAAAAAAATGTTAGGCTACCTGTTCTAACATCATTTCCAATAATATTGTTTGGTACTTGAAAATAATTTTGGGAATGGCAAGAAGTCTTAGTCTGTCAGTGATATTCTCCATTGATTTTTCAATTCTCATTGCTTTACTTCACTTCATGCAAAATGTAGCATTGAAATCCAAATCAAGCCTTAAGCATTTAACTTAAAAAAAGGCCTAGTCCTCTATATTTCATTACTTTTACTTGCCAATTCAGGTTTTTGTATTGCCATTGATTGAATTGTCATAATTAAAAAGCTTTGGCTAATCGTGCTCATTATATAATTTGGGCATAATTATGGTAATAATTTTACATCAGCTGTTATTAAACTTTTATGATCAAAATTGAATATCGAAATTGTTGTTAACTAAATTTTACAACCAATTGAGCTCAATATTTGAATGTAACTATAACTTAACTTACGTTATTTTATTATTTTTATGTAAGTTTTGAAATGACACTCATACTTCTTAATTAAAGAATTCGTTAATTAAAATGGTTGAAATTGAATTTTTATTTTATTTTATTTTTATGAAAATTTATATAAGATATTATTCATTTTAATTTAAAAAATTTATAATTTTATCTCATAAAAAATGTTTCATATATTTAAATTTAAATCATAATTTATATATCATAACAAATTTTTAAAATATTTTAATATAAAATTAGAATGTCACAATTATAGTATCCGACTTTCAAATGGTTATATTATTTACTTGATTCATTAATATTGATGTTTGCATTATTAATGTTGAAAAGTTAAAAGAAATAGAAGGCCTGAATTACCATTCCCTTTAATCAAAGCTCAACCTGGAAAATCCAGCATAATCTACACGATGGTATTGGTGGGTGTATATATTGGACTTGAAAGCTAATTCGGATGCCTTTTCAATCTCATCAATCATAATCTAATTCAAAGCCTAAGTTGAATATATCAACAACAATTTTTCCTCCCATATTCAGCAAATGAATGCAATTGGATCCATCCATGTTTTCTTTTGCTTTTACATGGTCTTGGACTATTATATAGACTATTATATATATATATATATATATATATATCTAAAGGATGATATATATATCATACCCCTCATTTTGCGCTTTGGATTGCATTCTGCCCTTCCTACCATACATGTTCATTTTGTTGGGATTTGCCTTGAATCTCAGAATCCCACATCGAAAGTTAAGTAAGTTTGAATTTGTCTTGTATCCCACATCGGGAGTTTAGTAAAGGTATAAAGGGTTTCACCCTTATAAATAAGATGTTTTGGTTTTAGTTTAGTAACCCCAGAGAGTTAGACACCAAGAGAATAGCTAAGTGAGTAGGCTATTAAAGGGTGTAATTGGGTTTTGGGTTAAGTTTTGAGTAAGGAGTTTTAGGAGACTTTTCTCATTCTAAAAGTCTCACAATTGTAAAGATTTATTTGATAGTGGATTAGATTTGGAGTAGGCCATTTTGAGTTGGGCTGAACCAAATATATTTGTGTTTTCTTATTCTTGATTTGAGCTTGTTATTTTGTGTGTGGTTGCTGCGCGTAGGTATTGTTGTTTTTCCCAACAAGTGGTATCAGAGCGAGGTTCCAGGTTCGAGGTTCTAGGTTCGTGGGTCCAAGAGATCGTGAAGCAGTGTTTGAAGATGTCTGAAGAAGGTATGTCTGGTATGTCTATGCCTAAGTTTGAGATTCCGTTATTTGATGGAAAGAGTAATTTTATGTTATGGCAAAGTACGATTCAAGATCTGTTAGTACAACAAGGATTGGATCAGGCATTGGAGAGTAGTAAGCCTGAAGGAATGTCTGATGCTAATTGGAATAGGATTCAGAAGAAGGCTGTTAGTACTATTAGATTGGCGTTAGCTCCAGAAGTAAAGTACAGTGTGTTGACTGAGAGTACTCCGAAGAGTTTGTGGGATAAGCTTGAAGGTATTTATGCTTCGAAGTCGTTGACTAATAGATTATGTTTGAAGATGGATCTGTATTCTCTGAAGATGGAAGAAGGTATGAGTCTTCATAATCACCTGAATGAATTTAATAAATTGGTTTCTCAATTGTTAGCGATTTCTGTTGATGAGTTAAAAGATGAAGAGAAGGCTTTAATTTTGCTGTCATCTTTGCCCAAGTCTTATAGGCCTTTAGTTCAGACTGTGTTGGTAGGCAGGTCTACTTTGAAGTTGGATGATGTGACTGCCCTGTTGCGTGAGAATGAAAGGTTTATGGGAGCTCAGAACTCATCACCTGGGGGGAGTACACTAGCTGTAGAGGGTTTTGATCGAGGGAGGACTCAAAAGAGGATTGATGGATCAAGATGGAGATCCAAGTCAAGAGACAGAGATTACAGTGATGTAGAATGTTATTATTGTGGTGAGAAGGGACATATCCAAGTGCGCTGCAGGAAGCTGAGAAGGGATATGGCTGCTTTCAAAAGGGCGAATGATGAGAAGAAATCAGATGAAGAAAAGAGTGATACTGCTGCTATTTTGTCTGATGATGATGATGTTGTTTTGACAACTTGTGTGGATGAGACCCAGACTTTGAAAAGTGATAAAGGTTGGGTTTTAGATTCAGCTGCTACAGTTCATGTTTGCAATGATAGGAGCTGCTTTGTGGAGTTGAATGAGAATGAAAAGTATGGGGATATTGTGGTTGCTAACAAAGAAAATGTGCAGATTCAAGGCATTGGGAGTGTTCGCCTTAAATCTCACAATGGTGTTATTCGGACACTTCGTCATGTAAGGTATGTACCAAATTGTCACTACAATTTGATTGCTTTGGGTGAGTTAGCTTCTCGAGGGTACACATATTATGGTAGTAATGATTGGTTGAAAGTGTACAAGAATGGTAGTGTGATTCTACAAGGGAATAGGGTCAATCACTTGTACATGTTTGATGGAGGCTCAGTTGCTGGAATGCCTGTGATGAAAGAAAAGAAGAAAGGTAAGCATGTTAGCTTTGCAGATACTGTTGAAGTGTTTGGAGATTCAAGTCAAGGGAGGATTTGTTGGGATTTGCCTTGAATCTCAGAATCCCACATCGAAAGTTAAGTAAGTTTGAATTTGTCTTGTATCCCACATCGGGAGTTTAGTAAAGGTATAAAGGGTTTCACCCTTATAAATAAGATGTTTTGGTTTTAGTTTAGTAACCCCAGAGAGTTAGACACCAAGAGAATAGCTAAGTGAGTAGGCTATTAAAGGGTGTAATTGGGTTTTGGGTTAAGTTTTGAGTAAGGAGTTTTAGGAGACTTTTCTCATTCTAAAAGTCTCACAATTGTAAAGATTTATTTGATAGTGGATTAGATTTGGAGTAGGCCATTTTGAGTTGGGCTGAACCAAATATATTTGTGTTTTCTTATTCTTGATTTGAGCTTATTATTTTGTGTGTGGTTGCTGCGCGTAGGTATTGTTGTTTTTCCCAACACATTTTCCTTGCTAAATCCTGCAGTAAGCAAAGAGGTCAGAAAAAAACGCCAATTCAAATTTCAAAACTTCAATAAAGAAAGAAAGAAAGAAAGAAAGAAAGCTGCCACTTTTGTCCCACATTTCCCTCTTGGAATCGGAGCTCTCATTCCATCATACAATCTGTTTCTATTTCTATTTCAACAAGAGCTCCCCCAACCAACACTTTCAAATTTCAAATCCTCACTTCCCTTCTTCTCTAAAATATACATTATACCATCTTCCAACTCTCAGGAGCCTTTTTTTTGGTTAGCTGCATACCAGTTTTTTGAGCTAATACTTTTTGCAAGAACAAAGTTTTAGCACTTGAAATTGAAAGCTTACATCTTTTGGGGGGAGGGTTCTCTCAGAAAAAGCCAGATGTCTTTGGTTTTTGGAATGTTAGTGTTTTTGTTGTTTCAACTGTAACTCCTCCATTTTTCTTTCTTTCTTCAGTTTTCACAATGAGAGAAGAAAACCCATCAGAAAGCAGAGCCAAAGCATCAAAATTTCCTGATCAAAACGAAGCCCCAAAATCTCAAACCACAAAAACCATCACCAATCAATCAAAACCAAAGTCTTCATGGGGTTCAAACATTGTGAAGGGCTTCACAGCTGACAAGAAAACAAAGGTTCAAACTATCACAGTCCAGAACAAGAAACTTCCTTTATCAAATTCTGATGTGGCAAACGCAAACGAAAAGAACCCATCTCTTCCATCTCATTCTAGAGTTAAAAGGTCGCTCATAACTGATTTATCTTGCTCTGTTAACGCAAGCCAATTTCACCCTCAAGTCTACCCAACTCACCGGAGACAGTCCTCGGGTTCTCGCGATTTGTTCATTGAATTAGACCATGTTAGGAGCCTTCTTCAGGAATCTAAAGAAAGGGAGTTTAAGCTGCAAGCTGAGCTTACAGAATGGAAGACAAATGCTAAAGTTTTGGATCTCGAAACGCAGCTAGAAACAAGGAACATCGAGGTGGATGATCTTTCACAGAGAGTTGGATTGCTGGAGTCGGAGAAGACCAGCTTATGCGATCAAGTGGCAACTTTGAGTTCCATTTTGGAAAGAAATGAGGACAATTTGGAAATTTCAAAGGAACCGCTATCCATTAGTAATCTTGAAATGGAAGTTGTGGAGTTGAGGAGGTTGAACAAGGAGCTGCAGCTGCAAAAGAGGAATCTTGCTTCCAAGCTTTCTTCTTCGGAATCCCAGTTGGCTTATCTTTCCAAAGCTAATGAGGTAGTGTCATTAAACTTTTAATTCTTAGGAATTATTGCAATATAAATTCAAGAAAATATAACATAAAAAAGATGATTTATTTTTGCATTGTGTTATTCTCCCCTATAATTCCTGGCAATTAAGCATAGGATCAATCAATTTTCTTTCGCTTGGTTCCCATAATATTAGTCGGTTTAGATGTTTTCATTAACCTTTCTCATTTACCTGCTGTCGTTCATCTTGGTTTTATCAGAGTGATGTTGCGAAAATTAAAGCTGAGGCATCTATGTTAAGACACACCAATGAAAACCTGAGTAAGCAAGTAGAGGGTCTACAAATGAGCCGCTTGAATGAGGTTGAGGAGCTTGCATACTTAAGATGGGTTAATTCTTGTTTACGAGACGAATTACAAAATTCTTTCTCAACAATAAAGTTTGATAAAACATTAAGTCCAGTTCAAAGCAAGGGTGAATATGTAAGCAGTAAGAGCTCCTTAGAACGCAGCAATGTAAAGAGACTAAATTTAATTAAAAAGATAAAGAAATGGCCAGAGGAATTTTCAAGTATAGAATATGCAGCTAATCTTGTGGATAAGGATTGGGTGACAAGTCCCGGAAGAAGACATTCTATAAGCGGATCGAAATGTTACATAGAAGAGTTAATACCAAATAAGAGAAGGCAATCTGATGGTTTTATATGTATAAAAGAAATGGAAAAGGAAGCCGAGCCACTAAGTTCTCAAAAGTATGGTACAGTTCAAAGAATGCAGTTCTTTGGAAATTGCCAAGAACCTAATAAGCCCGCAGCTTCCTTAGATGTTATAAAAAGGGCTTTGCGTATTCCAAATCCTCCTCCCAGGCCTTCCTGTTCAATTCCAAATGGACTTAAAGAGGAAAGTTCTAATCAAATTCCACCACCACCACCTCCTCTCCCTACAAAATTTTCAGTGAAAAGTAGCACGGGAGTTGTGCAGCGAGCCCCACAGGTAGTTGAGTTTTATCATTCACTCATGAAGAGGGATTCTAAAAAGGATTCTACAAATGGAGGAATATGTGATGTGCCAGATGTTGCAAATGTTCGTAGCAGCATGATTGGTGAAATTGAGAACAGATCAGCACATTTGCTTGCTGTAAGTGCTTGCCTACTAGCCATAAGTTTTATTTTATTTTTATATAAAAATGAGCTTGGATTTTCTTTACATAAATGATTTTAGCTCCCAAATTGCACTTGCTGCTTGTTTTTTGCTATCAGGAAAATATAGAGATCAAACTATAACATAATGTTTTAGGTACTCAAATTTGTTTAAACATCTTATTAGTAATAGAATTTTGTTTAAATTGTTACAGTATCAAACCTGATTGTTCAGCTACTCCAGGTTTTAACCATGATTCATCATTATTATTTATGCAGATAAAGGCTGATGTTGAAACTCAAGGAGAATTTGTGAATTCATTGATAAGAGAAGTCAATAGTGCTGTTTATCAGAACATTGAAGATGTAGTAGCTTTTGTGAAGTGGCTTGATGATGAACTTTGCTATCTAGTAAGTTGCTAATTATTGAAAAGGAAACAATTTACTAACATTACAATTTGTTTTCAATATCTTAAAGCGCTTTAAAGTTTTAGCAACCGTGGTCTGTTTTCTTTGCTGTTGGGTTCGCTAAAAATATGCATATAATCAGGAGGAAACTTAGTAGCATAAAACTTATGCAATTGCTAGGTAGCCAAGTTTTGATTGATAATCCCCCTTCCCAATCGTTCTATCTAATATGCTTAAAGAGATCTACTGCGTGAGAAACATCACTGAAATGACTGAAATATAAGTCTTAAAATGAATTCGCATGCATGCAGTGTTCTAACTAGTTGCTTTTCATTTAAAAAATATTCTTTTGAAGGTTGATGAAAGGGCAGTCTTAAAGCACTTTGATTGGCCAGAGAAAAAAGCTGACACATTGCGAGAAGCAGCATTTGGGTATCGAGATCTAAAGAAATTGGAGTCTGAGGTTTTATACTACGAGGATGATTCCAGAATGCCTTGTGATGTTGCCTTAAAGAAAATGGTTGCTTTGTCTGAGAAGTAAGAATTAAAAAAAAAAAAAAAAAGCTGTTGCTTGAGCATTTTGGTTATTTTTTGTCTTTTGAAAATTTCATTTAAATTGCCAGGATGGAGCGGTCTGTTTATAACCTCCACCGCACAAGAGAGTCATTGATGCGTAACTGCAAGGAATACCAAATTCCCAGAGAGTGGATGCTTGACAACGGGATTACAAGCAAGGTACTTGGAGTTGTCGTTTCCCATATATTTAATTAAGATGTTCCAAGAACAATTTTTTACAATACTTGTATATCTATACTACAAACGGAATAACAAAATTGCATATGAATTGTTTATTTGGCTTTGAGCTTCTTCTCTGCTATATTTCAGTCTTGTAAAGGATGTATTACTCTGGAGCAAAGCAGTTTTAGTGACTTGCTCAATGACTGTTCATTTCAGATAAAGCTTGGATCAGTGAAATTGGCAAAGAAGTACATGAAAAGGGTAGCCATGGAACTGCAGTTGAAGGCAACTCTGGAAAAAGATACTTCAATGGACTACATGCTCCTTCAAGGAATGAGATTTGCTTTCAGAATTCATCAGGTAATTTCTTAATAACTTTGGCATAGGAGAATCTGATCAATGTCAGTAACAATCAGAAGAAATCAATCTGATCAGTGTCAATAGCAATCAGATGAAATCAATGTGTCTTCTTGAGCAGCTAGAGTGATTTTGTTTTGGTGGTTTATGCAGTTTGCAGGAGGATTTGATTCTGAAACAATGCATGCATTTGAGGAACTCCGAAACCTAGCCAACCTCCTTAACAACAAGTAAAGGGCATGGAGGTTTTTGTCGGAACAATCTTTGCTTAACATCTTAGTAAGCTTCCATCTGGTTTGGTTGGGTAAAGTCAATTTTATTTATGTAAATGTGGAAAATGGAAGAGTTTTGATTCGAGTTTATGCTCATTAAGCAGAGACTGACGTGTAAAAATGCACTTTGCATTGTGAATTTTGAAATGGAAAATTGTGCATTTGCAATGGGATGGCTTGAAAAATGACAAAAAGTCTATATATACATATATATATATATTAATTATAGATACCCATCACAACTACCACAACCATAGCCCACTTTCACCATCACCAGACAACCAATAGCCCAACACACCCCTGGAATCACCCTAGCCACAATACACAAATCACCAAATAGAAACCACAACCAAAAAACACCACAAAGGGGGAACACAGGGAGAGCATTACAGGCAATACAGAGAAGCAAACAACATGACGCTAAAATAGTCAGCAACAAAGCACAAGCAAAGAGAAAATATTTCTGGCAGTGGTTGCTTGTGTTTCGGAAGTGGGTGATTTATGAGTGGTTTGGGTTCAAAGTTGAAGGGAGTGGAACATATAGTGGAAGAAGGAAGTGTTGCGGTGCCAGAACACCATGAAATCGAAGGTGGAAAGCTCTGGGTATCGGTGGAGATCTGTGACAATCTAAGCCGTTTTTGGAGAATTTAAGGGGATAGAAGTTTTCAGGAGGCTGTAAGGAATTTTTTGGGTATTTCTTGGATTTTTTCTGTCATCGGAGGAGGTGGACAGTGGCGTCACTTATCACCAGTTTCTGGGTTCAAGGTCGAAATCTGGGAAGTTTGATTTTTCCGGCCGCAGATAGACTTTTAGATAAAGAAGAAAGAAAGAGTAAGGAAGAAAAAGAAGAAAATGAGAGAAATTGGATTTTGTGAGCCGTAAATACAAGAACCAAAATGGCGTCGTTGTTGTGAATTGCTACCAGGCAACCCGCAAATGACTCGCATGGTGACTCGATCCAGTCGCCATTCGGGCTGCGACCAACGACCCGTCGCCATGCTGAGACATTTTCAAGCCAAACAAGTCATCAAGCCGAGTCATTGTCTAGTCCAGTCTGCAACCAAGCAATTGATCGGCTCTAAGTTGCTAAATCGAGCCGTTTAAATTTTTTTTTTTGTATTTTTATTTTATTTTATATTTTTATTTATTTAGATTAAAAATGAGTTTGAAAATAAGTTATTTTAAAATTTATAAATCCTACCATCATATTGATTCATTGGATGATTGATTTAAAATTTATTAGGTTTCAAGTTCGCAGTTCACCACGAAAGTAAAATAAAATTATATATTTATAATTTAGTTATAAAAGTAAAATAAAATTATGTATTAATAATTCAAAAATTGAATAATGTATAGGAGTAAAAGAATTGTGTAGCCATAATTTTTTTATGATTATTTGATTACTTGTTGCAATATAAATTTTTTTCCTCAAATTTGATAGCAATTTTTATGATTTCATGTAGTCATTCTTTTCTACAACATAAAAGGTATTTCTTCAATGTATTTATTTTACAATATGTAAAGTATTGTATTAAAAAACTTTAATGAACATGTTAAAATCTTGATAATGAAAATAGTAAAAGTAGACTTCATAACTTGTTTACAATGGATGAATTAGCCATGAAAACAACCTTTGCCATTAGTTTATTGTATGCCTTTTTAGCTTTTGCAAGCAACAATTTTTTTTATGTTCGTTCTTCCAAAGTTGAGTTAAGCACATTACGATTTTTGGCCACTCTTTCATTTATTGCTTGTGGAATTATAGGTGGCTTTTCATCAGGACCAAGTGCACGACCATCTAATGTCTTTATTTTTTCTAGTGTGCTCATAACATTGCATTTTATATATTTTTTACGGAATTCATCGTTGTTGTTTTATAAGTCCATAAGTTTCTTGCACCAAGAGAACTTTACTTCTCACTAAGCTAGTAATATAAATAAAAAAAATTATAGGTAAAGTTGTAGAGCTCACTAGCAAGAGGCAACAAATTTATGAAAAAAAAAAACTCAAAATTGCAAAGGGATATATTGGTAGTCTATTTAGCCAACTATAGGCTAAAACTATAAGTTATCAATACCATAACTATAGTATTAATAAAACCATATGATTACACAGCATTGTATGATATAACAAAAGATGGTTGTTTTTTTTCATACATTTAATGTAGTCAACTGAACAGTAGGGTAATGTTTTTTTAACTTTACTTTTTACCAAGCCTATCACACTATATTTATGGACATTGTATCTTATATATTCTTTATGGTAATCTTTTCAATGAAACATAACTATGAAAAAAATTGCATGCAAACTTATTTGTCTAGCCACAATAAGAGAACGAAGTCTACGATCAACAAACTTATCAATGATATCATGAGCTTTGTTTTTTACATCTTCTTAAAGGTGACAAAAGGTATAATCTAATAAAGATGTCAAGTAAATATAAGAAGCACAAAACAATAAAGAAAAGAAAAACATGGCATATGCTTATGCTAATATTTTACCTGTTATGGTGCACTTTTGCTGCCTCGATGCTAAGTGCCATCAAAGTCAATGTATGTCATGGTTGTATGCTTGTCAATTGGGTTAAAGAGGAAGAAATGCACCTCTGTGATATCTGCTTTAGCCTATAAACCAAATATATAATGTAATATTTGATACATATTATTCATATAAGATTTCAATGATCAAACAATTAACACTCTATAAAATAAGAAATTTCTATGATGACAAAGGTTTTGTAGCTCCTAAACAAAAAGGATTCAAAAGATATATATGGAAATGGATTGACATATGTTAGCTAAGAATAATTTACCTCGCTAGGATCACCTAGCATTCCAACAATGTAGGCATTAATAACATTTTGATTCTCAACCCTTGAAGTCTTAACCATAAGTAAAAAAAGCATTTTCTTGTCAACATCCTTTATGAACGCTTGAAATTTCACTTTCATGGTAAATGATTTATGGTTTCTCGATAAATATATTTCTTTGATTGACTTTCATATTTCAAAGTATGTTATGGTTATTGGTTAATGATTGCTTTTGAATCCTAAATCATAAAAATAACCTGGTTCTATTTATTTCTTACATCAATTTAAAGACTAACCTTGATTATGCTTTTGTCTATAATAAGCTTGATGAGAGTAAGTGCCATAATTTTGGTCATTACAGAATACATCCATTCCAACCATTTTGTTAATAGTAGTCATTTTCTTGGTAATAGCTGCTTGTTGAGACAGTTGGTGAGATCCAATGGCCATTGTCATGGATAAAACTATTGGCATGTCAATAGGAATCCGTCTAATTAGAAGCACTAAGAGATTGTCAATTTCATCCCTATACTGTTGATGTGGATTGGATACATTATCACAATCTCAATAATCATGCCTATTGCAATTAAGCATAAATAAAAGTTTCCAATTGTAGTCAACATCTAATTAAACAATTACCATTAGTGCACATCATATACAGCTAAACAATTGTAATTTTTGAAATGATGTAATATAGCTTTAATATTTCTTTCTTTACCAACAAATAGTTTTATAAACTTAGCTTGTGAGATTACTTTCTAGAAATGTCCTATGTTATTGGTACTATAAATCAAGTGAGTAGTTTTATCAAAGAATGTGTGCACACCAGTGGTGATAACGACAACCTCAATTTCATGTTGTTGGATAATACAACCAGAGAATACCCCATCACCTAAGTTCTTGGTTATCGGTAAAAACTCATTAGTTAAGGCAGAATGATCAATCTTGAGTGGATTACTTTTAAGGAGACATATATTTGCTAGGATGATATCTCTCAACTAAATGCTGATAATGTCCCTTGGTACTAAAATTGTAGCTTCTTGCTAGCTTCACTTTTAATCTCTTAGGAACTTTAATCATGTAAACATGTAAGAAAAAATTGGTTCAACCATCATATATGTGGTTGGTTATTTTAATCTTTTATTATATATACATGTACAACATTCTTGTATAATGTTGACTAAAATATTGATATTCTTAAGCACTTTGGTTTTGGGAGCAAGATCATCCATACAACTCTATTACATATCAAAACATATATATTTCATAAATGTTCTGATTGCAAACAGTTTATACAACTTTGTTATATATCAACCAATAAAATCACAATAAAAACAATAACAGATTAACATGTTCTATAAAGAAAAAAATAAAATCAAACAAAAAATAACAACAACAACTTAATACAATAGAACTATATTTTGCATCAATAATAACATCACAACAAAAACAAAAGCAGATTAACATATACTCAAAAATAGAAACAAAAAGAAATAAAGAATGATCAAACCTCAACTTCAATATTCACAACAAAAATTCTGGATTGATCTTAAAATCAACAAATTTTTACAAACCACAAAACCATAAATAAAATGACAATAGAATTGCAAAAATAAAAACAAAAACCATATAAAATAAAATCTTGATAAAACAAAGATAGTAACCACACCATTTCAATCAATTATAAAAACAAATACCAAACCTACATAATCAACAAAATAATTCAAGTAAAATACATCTTCTAAACAACAAACAAAATAATAACTAATACTGAACATGCGTTATATAATTTGCTCTAGGCAAAAACAAATAATACTATAATACAAATTGATTCAATTATACAAACAATCAAATACTAACCAATTTGCAATTGATAATCAAAATAGGATGGAACTTAAGAAGAATACAAAAACTTTAATAGCAAAAAATGACTCACATACAATTGAACAACAATTAAAAAATCCAAATCAAATACCAAAAAAAAAAGAAAATCCACTTACTATAAATTTCAAGAACTTAAATTTTAATAGTAAAACCAAGATTGAAAATAGTAGCAACAAAGCTATTGCCACCATCAACAAATCTAAAGGCAAATACCAAAAAATAAAATATAAAAAATAAAAACCCATAAAACAACTTGCATAAAATTGATACCTTTAATAAATTTATAATTTACAATTCGTAATCCAAATGAGAAAAACATAACTTATTAAAAAAATGACATGTATGAATAAAAAGATGAAATTCAAAACACAAAATTAATATCTAAAAAAACTCATCACCTCAAAAATACAATAACCCGGATGAATGTCCTTCCCCTCTTTTTTTCCCAACAACTTCTAAACCTAGAGATTAAAATCAAAAGAACAAAAAAG